TGATTATAATCAAATTGCAAATCTAATTGTGTCATAAGACTAGAAAAATCCTGTACAAATTTAATATTAGAAGAAGCGTTGTTATGTGTAACTGCGATCAACTTTGATAAAATTCTATTAGATTGAAGACAGTCTTTTATATTATTAGCAATCTCAGAACCTGAATGTGGTCCATCTATATTTATAAAATCAAAGAATATTTTTTAATTTCCAAGATGCATTTATATAATGAAGTATAATTGCTATAAAAGATTTGTCATTATTATCCGTTGTCTATATATCAGTCATTATTGTAAGTTTTTTAGAAATTTCTTGTAATTTTACATAAAGCTTATTACATTTTTCTTCAAAGTTATTGATAATATGTCTCCTTATCAAATCAGCTGATAGTGAAATAGCATTAGAGTCTAAATATAAAAATATTTTTTTAAGATCATCATCTTCTATAATATTAAATGGTCGATTGTGTTTAACAATCCAATATTTGATAAGATTTTGAAAATGTACCAAATTAAAAGATTCACAAGAATGATTATTAACAGATGCTTGATTTTTTAGCATGTCTATGACAGTAATATTTGATTTTCTTTTATTTAATTTAGGCACCTTTCCTTTATATATAGTAAGGTGTTTTTTAAGACTTGATATTGAGTCTTCAGCACATTTTATTATTTCTTTGTTTTTAGAGCAAAGCCTACATTTAATATAAGGTGTGTTTTTTTGTTTATAAAAGTACTTCCATACAAATGATTTATATATAGAATATTTCTCACTAGTAACAGTTTCTGCTTGGGATGATTCATTATCTTCTAAATTATCTGATCTGTTATTATAAGAATCATTATAAAAATTGACTTGGAGATCATTGTAAGAATTGGAATAGAGATCATTATAAGGATTAGCATAGAAATCATTGTAAAAATTAGTATAAGAATTATTAAAAGAATCAGCATAAGGATTATTATAAGAATCGGCAAGAGGATCATTATAAGAATCTGTATAAGAATTATATTTATAATCATCTGTAAAAGATTGGTCTGTATAAAAATGTGAATTGTCAGAATCTTCTATTATAATATAGCAATAGATAATAAGTTAAACCCATATCTCTTTACAAAAAATGAATATTCAAGTTTATATACTTGCAGAATTTAAGTTTCATATTTTAATTCAATTAATTTATGAAACTTGTTATTCTGAGTCATTATTATTATGCTTTTAATCTATTTCCAATTTATAATAATATAATTGTGTTCGTTTAGTTACTAGCCAATGCATATATTTCTGCATTTAGTTGAAAATATTATATAGAGCTATCGATCATACTATTGTTAATTATGATTAGCACAGTTTTATTT